GATAAGGCGCTGTGTCAAATGCAGGGATTATTATTGTTATTGAGCCCAACCAATACCGTCACTGCTTCACTGTGCTTTCCCGGTAACGCTGTCCCCATGTTTCTGTGAAAATAAAATAATCCGCTTAAATTCCCCTTTTACTCCTGAATGCCAAATAAAATAAAATTGATCACTCACTCTATGGCTGTTTGCAGGGATGTTGCTGTGCGCAAATTGGCCCACAAAACACACACAGTCCCTACACTTCACGTTATGTCCTGTGAAGTGTGTTGGGACGTCGTCCTGATGGAGACCGGAGTTGACACTGTAACTGTCTCTTTCCCCCCTCAGCTTCCTGATAGGATGCAATGTTCTCCCTGTCTCGAGCTTCCACTTGGGTTCTGTGTTGCAGAGGAAGAGCTGGGAACGGAAAAACCATATCGTTTACCCACCTCAGCTCCCCCATGAGCCACTTAGACCTGTGGTAAGCTCCAGTTCTTTCATTATACACATAATTCTCTCAACAACAACAAATCACATTTATGTAAGTGCCTTTTAGGTTGGAAGAAAGTCCCAAGACACTGGGCAGTGAAGGATTTGCACCTGAGGATAGAGTTCCAGAGGGTTAGGGAAAACCTTCTGAAGGTGATGGTGGGAGCAGTCAGGTTGGTAACGGTTTAGGAAGTCGCAGATATTGGGCTAGACCGTGAGGGGCTTTGAAGGTGAAGATGACGATCAAGGATCTCTGGGTGATGTTTAGTTTTTTTTCAATCGTCATTCTCCTTTCTCCCCACTCCGGTGATTTCTGATCCTCTGTGCTAATGGCTGACATGTGCTCGGGGTCTCTGTGTCGTTAACAGGAGGTCCACCACTGCAGGAGGCAGATCAAGTACAGCAAAGACAAAATGTGGTACCTGGCGAAAGTGGTGAGTCCAACTCTCACTCTGTTTCTTCAGCTTCACATAATAATAATAATAATAATAATAATCCTGACATTTAATATAGCTCCTTATCACCTCTTTGAGACGTCTCAAAGCGCTTCACAGAATATACTATAAAATGAATTGACTGTATATTTTGTAGGCAAAACAGTTGGGGATTGAGTGACCACATTTTGGGGGAGGGATTATTACCCCCATAAAGCGGGTTCCTACTGACAGAGGCGTGTAGAGTAAGGAAACTTGCCTAAGATCTCGCTCTGCCTGGGAATCGAACCCGGGTCTTCTCGCTTGCGAGGCAAGTGCTCTAACCACTACGCTTCAGGACTCCACAACTGGGGATTAGAGTGCAGCGCTCCGGAGGGGGAGTGACAATAACAAGACAACAACAACTTACATTTATCTAGCGCCCCACATGCAGGGTAGAGTCCCAGCACAGACGCGATGGGAGGGGGAAACCTACTTCTGTGCTTGTGTTTCAGATCCGGGGGATGACCATCGATCAGGCTGTGGCCCAGATGGAATTTCACGACAAAAAGGGAGCCAAAGTTATAAAAGAGGTGAGAAAAGGACCAGCCAGTGCCACTTAGAGGTGCCCTGGTGAACTATCTGTTTAACGGCTAACTGGCTCTGTGGCTGGTGCCTGGTGTCTCTCGCTCTCTATGTCAATTCTCTCCCGTTTGGTTTGTGTTCACTCCAGGTTCTGTTGGAGGCTCAGGAGATGGCAGTGAGGAACCACAACCTGGAGTTCAGGTCTAACCTGTATGTAGGTAAATATCCTCCCCACACACAGCAGTCAGTCGCTTTGGTTCTCACACTGTGGCTCTGTGCCACCATCGCACTGGTCTGGGGGCTTGAGATATAGGATCATCATCATCATAATAATAATCTTTGCGTTTGATAGAATGCCTTATCAGGTCGTTGAGACGCCTCAAAGCGCTTTGCAGAATACATGATGGGAGATGGTGGAAGGTGGGGTCTTTGGTTTTTGGGGATGGGGTTGGTGGGGGGGGATGAGAGGCTGTGATTCAATCTGAAGGGTTGCTTCCCACGTGCCAGGGGTTGACACACTTGTCTCTCTCTGACCCACAGCCAGGTCTTTCTCTGGGAAGGGTCAGTACCTGAAGAGGATCCGCTATCACGGGCGGGGGATGTGTGGGGTGATGGACAAGGTTTACTGCCATTACTTTGTGCAGCTGGTGGAGGGCAAACCCCCTCCTGAGGCCCAGAGAACCGGCTTCGACCAGGCCAAAGAGTACGTGCAGGGGCTTCGAAACCGCACCATCATCCACGCTCTGTAGCCACGGTTCCTCCCCGCCTCGGGCCCCACCCTCCTGAGTGTGGCCCCACCCATTTGTGGTCAGAAACCCGCCCCCTCGTGAACACAGACACACCCCCTCAGGAGTCTGGTCCCACGCTCTTGAGAGTGTGGCTCCACCCCCTCGTGACTGCGGCCCCACTCCCTTGCAAGCCACGCACCGCACCCTTGTTAGAGAGCTCCGCCTCCTCATGGGTATGGCCCCACCCCCTTGCAATCATAGCCCCACCCCTTGCAATCAGCCCCACCCCTTGCAATCATGGCCCCGCCCCTCCATGCACAGTGCTGGTTGGGAGGACGGCACCACCTGTGTTGAACCTTAGGAGTTTGTAATAAAATCTTTTCTTGTCAGCAATGTTGTGGATTGAGCCTTTGTATTTCTCCGAATCAGTCGTTATTGCATCAGTCCCCTGGTAGGGCTGGACTCCTTTCGTCGAGAAGCAGGAGGAGGCCATTTAGCCCACCCAGCCTGTTCCACCAGTAGATGAAATGACAGCACCATTTCGCCTCAATCCCCAACCGTCTCCCATCTCCCTGTTACACATCCCGGTTGATGGCTTAGGTGCATCAGTGAGGAGAGAGGATTCCCGTCAGTCCATCATTTACAATACCATTTAATTCCTTGCTCACAAGGTCACAATGCTGTGATGTCCAACTCAATGTCATTTGCACCCCCAGCTGCCCCTCCTTTCCCCCCCACTCCGCTCTGCCCCCATGCTCCACACCCCCCACGGTCCCCCCACATGCCCAAACCTCATGCTCTGCCATTAAGCTCACCCCCATCAAAAGGTTCACCCATAACACACGCCCCACAGCTACACTCCCCTCCCCTCCCTCTCTCCCCCACGCACTCTGCTTCCCCCCCCCCCCGTGCTCTGCTTCCCTCCATCCACCCACCTACTCACACCGCTTCATATTCATCAAAAACAAAGCTAATTCACATCATCTCTATTGCTACATTATTTAAAGCCTGGCTCGGCCTGGCTGAGATTAGTATCGTGCTCTGCGCCCCCCCAGCCCCCTCCCACCCCCCAATTCAGCGGTTACAGCATCTGTAAGACGGACTGTTTCTGTCTGAACGTATCGATCAAAGACAGGACCCCCCTCTTGACACCGGAGCCATTGCACTTGGAGTTGGGGTACTCGGGGGGGCAGGGAGAGGCTGGGTTCTCGCCCCTGGTGGGCAGGTGTGACTTCAGGCAGCCGGGCAGGGGCCGGACTGGCTTTGGTTTGGCTGGAACTGCTGAGGAGACCAGACATTTTTGGTACTGGAGCTGTGGACACAAAACCAGGCGGTCAGGAACAGGAACAGGAGGAGGCCATTCAACCCTCAAACCTATTCCGCCATTCTATTAGAGCACGGCTGATCCATGCCTCAACACCATTTACCTTGATACTCTGACCTAACAAAGGTTTATCCATCTCCGTCTCAATCTCGTACAGGTGGGATGCATGGAATTCCCAGTTGGGTTTGAATACTCTTAAGCATGATGATGGGTTTTCCCGTGTGTCAGACAGCTGGCTGACTAGTGCGGTGCGCTGTTTGTGGGGGCCGCTGCGGTGCGCAATTGGCTGCCGATTTTCGGCCAGAAAAAAATACACATTACAGTCTATTCCGTGAAGCTCTTTGAGGCGTCTCGAAGACGTGATGAGGCGCTGCGTCAAATGCCAAGATTATTATTGTTATTATTATACAGCGCCTTCAGGTAAGGCAGCCTCTCGGAGCTCTGTGTGTTGGTGATTGCCGTACTCACATAGCTTTACCGTTTGACAGAGAACCCACCGGATGTCCCGATTACTCTGACTGAGCCGTACCGCACGCTAAGCGGCCACACCGCGAAGATCACCAACCTGGCCTGGAGCCCACACCACGACGGCCGCCTGGTGTCTGTCTGTTACGATGGCACTGCTCAGGTTAGTGCTCACCACGGACACGATGGGGGGGGAGAGAGCGAGAGCAGGGGATGGGGTTACAGTAGAGAGCTCCAGTGGGGCTGTGTGTGATGCATTGCGTGTGTGTGTGTGTTGGAGTGTGTATGTGTGTGGTGTGGTGGGGTGTGGAGAGGGAGAGGACGGTTGGGGGTGGGTGTGTGTGTGTGTGTGTGGGGGGGGCAGGTGGGGGAGAGGGTGTTGGTGGGAGGATGGTTGGGTGGGTGTGTGTGTGGGGGGGGGGGGTGAGGGGTGGGAGGACGGTTGGCTCTGGGGTTTGTGTGACGGTCACTGTCCTACAGGTGTGGGACGTGCTGAGTGAGGAGCCTGTGTGTAACTATCGAGGCCACGTGGGGCGGCTGCTCAGTGTCCAGTGGTCCCCGGTGGAGCCGGACATGGTGTGGACGGGAGGCGATGACTTCACGCTGCAGCAGTGGGAGGTGTCGCGGCAGGAGCACGTCCGACCCCCCAAAGGTAACGGGGGTGTGGGCTGATTTGGGAAGAGGGCAGAGGTGGGCGATGGAATTCTGAGCCTCCAGCGCAGCCGAGACCCTCTGGGATGATCGAGTAAAATCAGATAATAAAGCAGTTAATAACACCTAATGTTATGTATTATCACTTAATAGTAATGTAGTTTATTCTCGAATAAACGTAAATTTATTGGGGACAAAGGAATGAAATGGCCCTGACCTCCTGCTCTGATTCTCAGGTAAGAAGAACTCGGAGCTGGAGAGGAAAAGGTCCACGTTTCCGAAGCCCAAGTCCAAAAAGAACAGGAAGATTCCGAGCGAGAGGGAACGGGAGAGCGGGGAGAGCCCGGACACCAGGAGCCACAGGGACTGGAGGGAGAGAGAGCAGCCGCCGGAGACCGTGACCGAGCCAACGTCCGTGCCTAACGGGACCGCCACACGCGGTGAGTCTCGCCATTCACCCTTTCTTATCTTCTACCGTCGTTGGCTGCGCTTTCAGCCACTACCCCCCGAAACTCTGGAACGTTTCTTCTGGCTGTGATTGAAGACCTTCCCCCTCGACCGTGTCTTCTCCCCGCCCGCTTCCCCCGGCTTGGTGTCGTGCTCTGCCACTGCAAGGCGCCCTGGGGCGCTGCTCCTGTGTGAGGGGTTGCTGTATAAGCAACATACGTGTAATCTGTTGCTGCTGCTGTTCTCCTGACAGACATGGCAGACCGTCGGGCCCCCAGTCCGGGGTTTGGCCCCCCGGCGACAGACCTGCTGAGTGGCGGCTCCAGCCAGGACCCTCCTCCGAGGAAAGAGCGTCAGAGAGAGGAGAGAAAGAAGGAGAAACCGGGTCAGTCATCAGCTCTGACGTCAGGAGGGACTTGTGGAGCAGGGGGGGTGGGTGTTACGGAGCAGGAGGGGATGGTGGGGGGCGGTGTGGACAGTGATATTGCCCTGAGAGCTGACTGTCTGCTGTTCACGCAGGGGGTGCTGTGGGGAAGAGGAGGAAAGGGGGTTCAGTGCTTCCCCTCAGTGGGGCCAGTGACCATCGGCCTAAGGAGGAGCTTCACCAGGACTGTGTTAACCTGGCCAGCGTCCTGTACAGCAAAGGTAAGCCTGTCAGGAATGTTCCCACCACTGGAACACGTGCTGCGGTGGGGGTGGGCGGAGCGCTGCGGGGGTGGGGAGAACGCTGCGTGCGTGTGGTGCTGCTGATCACACATGTGTGCGTGTTGCGTGTGTTTCCACAGGGAAGGAAGGGCCCCTCCCGGGGGAGGGGGAGCGGATACAGTTGGGGCTGTTTGTGGACCGGGCGGCTCTTTACCGGATGTTTGCCGAGGAGGGTGAGTGATGCCGGGGGGATATTGACGCAGAGCGTCGGAGTAATGGGGGTTGGGGCTGGTTGAGGGGGGTTATTGGAGCACGTAGTTGCGGGGGGGGGTATGGGGTTTGAGGGGCTCAGAGATCCGATGCTTCCGAGGGCAGCCGCAGGGAGAGCCCACGAGGGGGAAACGGACAGGGGTTATGGAAGGAGAGATCCTCTTTTCCTGGAAGCAGAGATATTGGGGGAGTTGGGGAGTGCGGGGGTGGGTGGGGGTTGTCTGTGGTGTGGAGCGGGCTCGGTGGGCTGAATGGCCTCCTCCTGTTCCTGTGCCCGTGGGGAGGGGTTGACCCACTGTGACCTCGCTGCAGGTCGGAGCCACCTGGAGTCGGGCCATCCTGAGCTGCACCATCAGCTGCTGCTGTGGAAAGGAGATGTGAGGGGAGCCCTCCAGGTAGCCGCCCAGCGCGGAGAGCTCAGTGACTCACTGCTAGCCATGGCGCCCATGGGTATGGACATCATTCTGCGAAACACTCGCTCCCCCTCTCCCTCTCTCGCTATCTATCTCTTTGTGTCTCACTCGCTCTCTGTCTCTCACTCACTCTGTGTGTGTGTGTGTCTCTCTCTATCTCACTCCTTTCTCTTCCGGCAGTGGGCTGTTCTTTCACACTCTCCCTCTCTCTCAGTCTCTCACTCTCACCACCCCCCCCCCCCCCCCACCCATCTCCTCTCTCTCACAGTATGCTATGTGGGTGAGGACGATTGGAAGCGTATGTGCTCTCACACGCACTCTCTCTCGCTCTCTGTGTCTCGCGCACTCTCTCTCGCTCTCTGTGTCTCACGCGCACTCTCTCTCGCTCTCTGTGTCTCACGCACTCTCTCTCGCGCTCTCTCTCTCTCTCTCCCCCCGCAGCTGGCTATGGTGTGTGGGTGAGCACAGTGGAGGCCTATGTGAAGCAGTTGTGTTTCCAGGAGCAGTACGTACTGGCGGCCACACACCTGCTCTCACTGCAGCGCGTCCATCAGGCTGTCCAGCTGCTGTCCTCCCACCAACTCTACAGGTCAGCAACGCCCAGCCCCCCCTCCCTCCCTCTCGCCCAGATCCCCATCCCTCCCTCCCTCTCGCCCAGCCTCCCCTCCTTCGATTGTTGTTATTATTATTGCTGCCCACTCCATCACCTCCGTGTAACTGGCTCTGGCCGCCTGCGCTTCCCTCGTGCTTTCCCTTCCACCGTCTCTGGCCGCGCTTTCAGCCACTAACCTCTGGAACACTCTCTCCCTCAAACCCTCCACCTCGCCCCTTCCTTCCCCCATCTTCAGGTTGTGCTGAAAGACCTTCCTCTATAGTCACCTTTCCCCCCGGCGCAGCATCAAGCTCCGCCACTGTCAAGCGCTCTGGAGGGCTATCCTCCATGAGGGGTGCTGTGTATGTTGTTGTTGTTTGATGGTTGTCCTCGGTACAGGGAGGCCATTGCAATCGCCAAAGCCCGGCTGCCACCCACGGACCCGTTGATCAGTGAGCTGCTGGGGAGCTGGGCCGCGAGCCTGGCGAAGGACGGCCATTACTCTGTGGCTGCCAAGTGGTGAGTGTGGTCACAGAGCTGAGAAACACGCACATGGGGGCTTTCAGTGCGATGGTTAGAGCCCTCGCCTCGCAAGCCAGAGGACCTGGGTTTGATTCCCGGGCGGTGTGAAACCTTAGGCCGGTTTCCTTATTCCACATAAACACACACACACACACGCGTGCGCGCTTCTGTTTTACGGAGCAGTAAGTAGGAATTCAGTTGTTAAGTCAGTTGGCAGATCGCTTTTCCGGGGATAATAATCACTTATAATTAAATGAATAAATAAATAATTTGGTCGCTCTACCCACGGCTGTTTGTGGGGGACGCTGCTGTGCGCAATTGGCTGCTGCGTTTCACCCGCAAAACACCCAGTCACTCCACTTTACAGTGTATCCTGTGAAGCGCTTTGAGGCGTCATAAGGCGTTGAGTCAAATACAAGAAATATTATTATAAAACGGTCAGACACGGGGGGCCAGGAATCGTGTAGAGGGTCCGTGTGGGGGTGGGGGGGGGAGTCGGGGTAACATGTAAATGAGACGCCTCTTGCGGTGGCTGACATGCCGTGCTCTTTGCCCACAGTTACCTGACGTCTCGGTGCCCATACGACGCGGCCAAGGTGCTGGCGAGGAAGGGAGACACGGTGTCGCTCAGGACAGCGGCTGAGGTGGCCCGGCTGGCAGGGGAGGTGGAGCTCTCGGCCTCACTCGCCCTGCGCTGCGCACAGGACCTGGTGTCGCAGCGAGACTGGCTCACAGCTCAGGAGGTCCTACAGCAGCAGCAGAGCCTACTGGTCAGTCCCATCATGTCTCTCGCCTGCTGCCCTCCCTAGTGAGCGGTCTCAGTGTTTGGTGCTGTTTACCTTCACACCCCGGCACCTCCCAACCTCTCCCACCTGCTTATTTTCTCCCTAGTCCCCCACCTCCCGCTTGCCTGGCTCCGGCTTCCTGCTTGTCCCTCATGCCCTCCGTTCCACCGCCCGCTCTTTCGGCCACTCCGCCCTGGAACTCTGGGCACTCTCTCCCTCTGCCCCTCCGTCTTTGCCCCGTTCCTTCCCCCATCTTCAGGTCTCTCCTGAAGTCCTTACTCTTCGAAGGTGTTTTCGGTCTCCTCCCCGGCTCCGCCACTCCGTCCAGCGCTCTGGGACGCTCTCCTGTGTGAGGGGGCGCTGTGTAAATCTGAGCTGCTGTTGTTGATGTTGTTGTGGTCCTCTCTCTCTCAGGGCCAGAGGTTGCTGCTGTGCACGCACGAGCTGCTGTACAGGAGGCTGGAGGAGCGGGATGTGCTCCTGTGGAGAAGCGCCAACGCTCCCCGGTTCCACAGCTGGGGGGCACTAGCGAGCCAGAGCTTCCTGAGCTCAGTGCAGGGCGTGTGGCGGGGGGAGTTTGGGCTGGAGACCAGCGAGACGGACAACCTGGAGACCCTCCGCAAACAGCTCAGTACAACCGAGTGCCCCCCGGCTACCCCCAACACCCCCCCCAAACAGGTAACAAAACACCGACCGGGCTCCGCGGGGAATCGATCGCTGTGAGGTGTAGTGACTGGGTTTTTTTTATATATAATTGACTGCAGCAGTCAGTTTTGGACAAGGAACGTCCCAGCAAACAGCCGTGAAGTGAGCAAGCGATTATCTGGGCTGATTATCTGTTGCTCGCTCTGCTCTGCAGGCAGCTCAGGCCTGCTCCCCGTCACCCGCTTTTTTTGGTGGGGGGAACGGGATTATTACCACGGGAAGTGATTCGCCAATCGGTGAACAACCGGGTTCCCACTTACTGCTGGGTAACCAGAGGCGGGTGTGCGCGGGTGGCGTAAGGAAACTTGTCTGGGGGTTTCGCCCCCCGCCCGGGAATCGAACGCAGGCGAGAGCTCTAACCACTGAGCTGCGGAACTGCAGTATGATTCGTTATTGACTGTGTTGTGTCTCTCTCTCTCTCTCTCTCCGCAGCTGTTGCTGACAGTGGCCCAGGAGGTGTGTGGGGTAGGGCTGAGCGAGCTGATGGGGGACAGCTCAGGGGCAGTCACCCACACGCTCGGCGCTGTGACCCGCTGTCTGGACGCCGCACACTTCACACTGATGCAGGAAGTCAACCGCCTGCTGCTGCCCGAGGGTGAGTCTCGCTCCCCGTACAGTGTGAGCCGCAGCCCGGCTCCTATTAGCCGTGATAACAACCCTCATGTTGGAGCCCAGGACGGGAAAACTCGCACAAGCTCAGATCAGGCGGGAACCATAACATTTAATATGACTTGCGCAAAGTCCCAAGTCTCAGGCAAACTTGGATAAGCCGAGAAAATCTGATCTGATCAGTAATCTACACTGCGCTTGGTAAAATTCAGCACATCCGGTAAGTGCACAAACAGTTAGGGGTTAAGGCGACATTTCCTGCGGTTTAATGACATCTCAAAGGGTTTCACAAATAACAAACAAACAAATTGCATTTGTGCAGCGACCTTCACGTCGGGAGGACGTCCCAAGGCTCTGAGCGCGAATTGACGGTATATTTTGTGGGCGAATCACGGCAGCCAATTGTGCACCGCAGCGTCCCCACAAACAGTGCCGTGCGCAATTGCGGCTGCCGTGTGTCGCCCACAAAAGTTGTGTTGGTTCCTCAGTCTCTCCGCTCTCCGACAAATCCTCTCTGAACGCTTCCCTTGTCTCCCGTCTGTCTGCCCCAGGTCTGGAGTCTGTCTCGGGGCTGGGGTCCCGGCTGGATGGGAGCGACTGTGAGGGTATGGACGCTCTGCGGAGCCTGGAAGCGTTCTGGTGTTACGGGGAGCTGTACCGGCTGTGGTGGGGTCTCCAGCCCGAGCCGGAGCAGGAGTGCCATCCCTCCCCCAGCCCCCCACAAGCTGCCCGGGAATCCCCGGACGCTGCGGACGGAGATTTACCACCGGCTCCCGACGGCGACGGGTTACACCGGGAAACGTCCGGCTCTGCGGCTGTCTTGTCCGGTGTTCCCGGGCTGCTGTCTGCCTGCTCCCGTCTCCTCTCCGAGGATCACGCCCGGATGCAGGCTCTCGGGCAGCAGATCACAGAAATCCGGGAAGCCGTGGGCAAACTGATCTGCCAACACCGGGAGTCGGTCAGGACTGAACCGGGAGAGGAGGAGGAGGGAGAGAGAGAGAAGGAGGAGGGAGAGAGAGAAAAGGAGGAGGGAGAGAGAGAAAAGGAGGAGGATGGAGAGAGAGGAAAGGAGGAGGATGGAGAGAGAGGAAAGGAGGAGGAGGGAGAGAGAGGAAAGGAGTCTAGAGAAACGATGTCAGTAAACGGAGATGTGGATACGATGGGTGAGCAGGAGACGGAGGCTGGAGCGAGTTTGCTGGGACCCTCGGCTCCGAGTGCTGATGGGGACACTCTGAGGTACGTGGGGTTAAGCATCTTCAGCAGTTTATTAACTCGGCCCATTCAGCCCCCCATCACCCCGGCCCTCGTCAGGCTCCACCGACTCCCCGTCAGGGAACTGATCCAGTTCAAGATCCTCTCATTCGTCTTCGAATCTCTTCACGCCCTGGCTGCTCCCTAACTCTCCGACCCTGAAACTCTGGAACACTCTTCCTCTATCCCTGCGCTTTACCCCCTTTTCTGTTCGATCGTGACCTACAGTCACTTCCCACCCCCCCAGCGTCGTGCTCCACCACCATCAGGCGCTCTGGGCCACTATCCTGCGTGAGTGGCGCTGTGTGAATGCAAGTTGCTGGTATGGGGGAAGAGGGATCAGGCGGGAGCTTGTCCCTGTTTCTACTCCCAGTCTGGGCGGTGGTGGGGTTGGGGGGGGTAGTTACGTGGAGATGGGGGGGGAGCCTGACGCTCAATGCTCTTGTCCTCAGGGCTGAGGCTCCGCTGACGAAGCTGACGCAGCGACTGAACGAGGTGAACCGGCAGCGAGTGGAGCTGTCGGCAACAGTGAAGGTTTGTGAGTTCTGTCTTAGTCTCTCGCGCGCTTTAGTGACCGGTGTTTGTAGATGAGCTCGGCCGACACACGCGATCCCTCTCGAACACACGCAGTCAATTAAACTCGTTCACACACACACACCTGCTCGTGTGTGCATGACTTTAGCGACACGTGTGTGAGACTGTAGTGACTGTGTGTTTGTGTTACAGAACTGCCGGTTCCCTGACGTGCTGGAGTGTTGCCTAGTGTTGCTGCACATGAGCCGGTGCTGCCCCCCCGCAGTGCCCCCCGAGCTGAGGGGGCGAGCCCTGAGCCTGGCTCGTACCTACAGCTCCCACCGTGGCCTGGCCCTCCGTAGGATCCTGGGGGAGAGCTAGCGGCACGGAGAGGCACACGACACACCGAGCATCGGCCTCCCGCGTGGACAGGTGCGGGCGGAGCTGGGATCGTGTGGGGGGAGAAATCTCCAGGGTCTCTTTCCTCCTCCCATTCCCGATCTGAGTGCAGGTATTCCTGCCCCCCTTCCCGCTGCCTGGCCCAGTGCCACCGAGGACTGTCTCTGCCCCAAGATGGAGTGAGTGCGGTGTGACACCTGCCTCTCAATGTCACGCGCGGTGTTTTGTCAGAGAATAAAGTTTAAGGTCTTGTTTTTGATACTGAGCCCCTGGGATTTGGCTGCTGACGACCGTAACACTCCCCCCCCCCCCCCCCACCCCGCTCTGACTGGGTTCCTTAAGGGGATCACACACTGGTTACCGCGAGTGTAAAGAAACGATTAGTTTTGTGTTGATGCTGCACAGAAAGCACCTCCAGATAAAACTGTCGAGTGAGCGAGTGATCGGAACTTTTTTTTTATATATTGAAATCATTAAAGAGTCTGAAGTTGCCCCGAGTTGCCCTGTTATATTTTCTCCCGGCGGCTGATAACACAGCCGAGAGGGTGCGAGACACGCAGCGAGTGAGGCCTCGGGGTTGTGTCCTGCACAGAAAGCTGCCTGTGTGTGGGCTGAAAGAGGTCTCTGTGTGAAACCGGGTTAGAGCCAAGTCCTTGTGGGCGGAGGCACAAAAAAAGGCCTGAATTCAGCGCAACATCAGCAGTGGAACCACAGGAGGAGCCTATGGCACTGTCCCCGCATCACAACATCAGTGAGTTTTATTACCCGTTCAACCTCTCGCCCCACAAAGGTGACAGAGCGGCTGCTGTGGGTGAGGTGGGAGACACTGAACTGGTCATCACTGGCGGTCATCTTCTCAGGGGCTGCCTCACCGCCTGTGAGCACCAGCTGGCAGCAACGCTCCATTGAGCTGCAGCCAGTAATAAGCCTTGCATTTGATGCAGCACCTTTATCACCTCGTACAGACGTCTCGAAGCGCTTCACAGGATATGCTGTAAAATGCAGTGACTGTGTATTTCGTGGGCAAACCGCGGCACCCAAAGGCGCACAGCGGGGTCCCACAAATAGTCGTGGAGCGAGTGACCAATTTGGGGATTGTCGGCCAGGACATTCTGGCCAGGACAAGCTGGCGCTACATTGGAGCGTCAGCTTACACTGTGTGGGGGCCTGAACCCACAACCTCGACTCGGGGCTTGAGAGTGTTGGGCTCTGCCGAGTAGATCAATTTAAGAATGTTATCAATTGGATAGATTGAGTTTGAGAAGATCACTTTACTTGGTGGCAGTGGAGAGTGCAGAGCAATGAGTGACCGCTGTGGGTCTGACTCGCACTCCCTCCCTGACTGCCCTGGTCCTCGTGTCTGAGCGGATTCGCTCCCATTCACTCTGAGCCCATTATAAACATCTATTTTCTGTCTGTTAATTAGACGGTTTCAGTGAACGCCAGCACTGTGTGGGGCGCTCAGTATGTCAATCGTCTCTGGTCTGTGAGAATTGCCCAAAAAAGACTCCTCGTCCCTTTAATCTCATCAGTCTCCCCGCCCGTCTACCCCATTCTCCCCTCCCAGTGTCAGGCCGTTTCTTAAATGACGTGCCAGCCAAAGTCACTCTGTCCAGCAACTCGGTGATGCCCCAATGTCATTTGAGAGGAGAAATTAAAGAGGACAAGAATAGAGCCGGGAATGGGGTTAGAGCAGAGAGCTCCAGTGGGGGAGCGAGCCCCAGCACAGGCACGAAGGGGGGAGTGAGCTGATCCTGTGCTGAGATCCATGACTTTGTGAGTCTGTCTGGGCTGAACACTTGCAGACAGGAGGCCTGATGACACGAAGAAAGAGAGAGAGTGAGAGATTCTGGCAGTGGGTGAGGAATGCTGACACTGTATAAATAGCACAGGGGGGAGGGAGGAGGGGGCAGAACCACCATTGCAGAGATTCCATCCGCCTCCACATTAAATCCCAGCTTTACTCTCGGGAACACTGAGCCGAACCGGAGTTGATCACCGTAAACCCACAGGAACCTCAGCTCAGCCGCTAACGGGTAAGAGCGTTAAACCACATTCTGCCTTCATCTCAAAAGTATTTTTCTCCTCTTGCTAATGTCATCTTTTCCCTTTGCCCTTGGCTTCCCCCCAACACCCCCCCCCAACCCCTCAACCCGCCCCACGTGAGGCAACGTGTCGAGCGATTGCCAGGATGGTGGAAGGTGAACTGGATGGACCTTGGCCTTCTATCTTCCAGCAAATTCTTATGTCGTTATGAGGCTGCTCAGTGAGCGAGGGCTGGGGGGGGGGGGGGAAAGATCTGGGGAATCGTGGCCTTCGATCCCGGTCTCTCGTGGTCCAGGGGGCCGGGAGGAGTCTGGGGGAGGAGGAGGTAGGGGTCTTGGGAGGGTAGAGGGAGAGAGTGGGCAGCGCTCTCGCCCAGCGGTACTGAGGCTGATTGTAACCTTGCTGCCGTCTGTAAATCAAAATGCACTCCACCCCCCTCGAGTGTGTCGGGGGATTGAGGATAGGATCCCGACTGTGATCATTGCCCCCGATTCTCTGCTGACTGACGCTCACAGTCTGGGGTCGATCACACAGGGCGAGTGTTTGAGAATGGGGAGCCAGCAGCAGTTAAAAGTGACAGACGGACGGACAGACGGACAGACAGCTGGAGCGAGAGGACTGTGTGTCCGTGCGTCTGTGTGTCAGTCACTCACTGAAATTGTTCCTTTCCAATTGGGAATTCTTCCAATAAGGAATACTTTTACAAAGCCCTGTGGCCCCGCGGAAGCGCGCTCCGGAAATGGATCAGGTCGGAGAGGAGTTCCTGCGGGTTGGAGTGACCAAATCTTCCCCCACCCACCCTGTGTGTGTGTGTGAGTGTGAATGTGTGTGTGTGTGTCTGTGTGTGTGAGTGTGTCTGTGAGTTTGATGGATGGAGAGACTAAAAAAGAGCCACTTTCCCGATGGCTCAGAGAGAACCGCTCCGGAGCCAAATCAGGAAAAACAGTTTGGAAGTTGGAAGGAAAGTTGAAGCAAAACTTTTTGCAAATTTAATTAATATCATCATCCGGAGAGGGGGCGTGACGTCAGGGCTATGGTTTACTGGGGCTGTGGGAGGCAAAGGGAGGAGAGGGGGGAGAGGGAGGAGGGAGGGAGGAGAGAGGGGGGAGGGAGGAGAGAGGAGAGGGAGGGTGGAGAGGGAGGAGAGACTGAGAGAGAGAGGGAGGAGAGAGGAGAGGAGGAGAGGGAGAGAGACTGAGAGAGAGTGGAGAGGAGGAGAGAGGAGAGGACCAGGGACAGAGGCTGAGCCACACACGGACTGAGACAGCGAAGGAGCAGAGACTGAACCTGACACAGGGACCAAAACCTCAGAGACAGAGACTGAGTCACACACTGTGAGTGTAATCCTCACATCACTTATTTTGTTGTGAGTATATTCCACGACACCGATTTTATTTTTATATCTAATAATCTATCGTTCGTTTTATTGGACGAACCGTTCAGTATTTCTTCTCGTTCGGTGCTCAGCCCCGGAGTCCCCCCCCGCCCATCCCCATCCCCAGCCCCCCATCCCCAGCCCCTATCCCCATCCCCCCATCCCCAGCCCCCATCCCCATCCCCACCCCCCCCAGCCCCCATCCCCAGCCCACCCCCCCCATCCCCAGCCCAGCCCCCCCCATCCCCAGCCCCCCCCCATCCCCACCCCCCCAGCCCCCCATCCCCAGCCCCCCCCCCAGCCCCCCCCCCCCCCCCCCCAGCCCGAGGCGCAGCTCCAAACCTATTAGTATTGCATTCAAATTAATGTGTTTGTGTGTCATTCATTCATTCAAATTAATTGACCCTCTATCTGTGTACCTGTCTGTCTGTGTCTGTTTGTGTGTGTCTGTGTGTGTCTGTCTTTGAGTATCTGTCTGTGTGTCTGTCTGTGTGTGTGTGTCTGTCTGTCTGTCTGTGTGTATCTGTGTGTCTGTCCGAAGTGTTTTTTTTTTGTGGGGTTTCGAAGCTGCTTTGGAATTTGATTTATTCCAAGTTCTCTGACCTGACGTATCAATCCTCACATTTTGTGAAGGCGGCGAAAAAAAACGATTTTGTAAAAGACAAATGTAAAAACCCGATTCAAAAAAACGTTTTTTTTCTGTCAATACAACGACAAAAAACTTTTTTTTGTAATTGTAAAGTTTTTTTCCTTAAAAAAAGGCTGAGTTTGCGATATTCACTCTCTCCCCTCGGTGTGGGCGGTGTGGGGTGGGGTGGGGGGAGATGCTGTCTGACCCTTTATTGCCTCCCCCCCACCATCACCCCACACTGAAGCCCTGAGCAATGTGGGCTTATGTGAGCAACAATAATAATAATAATCCTTCCATTTGACACAGCGCCTTATCACGCCGTCGAGATGTCTCAAAGCGCTTCTCAGGATATACTGTAAAGTGTAGTGACTGTATTTTGTGGGGAGGGGCAGGATTCTCTGGGTACCTTTATCCCTATTCTACCTCCCCCCCCACCCACCCACCACACTGAGAACCTGTTGTTGGTGGGTGGGTGATGTCTGGGGATTTGCCTGTGGGGTAGTGGTGTGGGGGTGGAGAGGGGGAATTTCAATAGCAGTCGGGTGCGGGAGCCTGCGATTCAAAACACTGTCTTGCGAGAAGGTTGAAGGTATCAATACAAGTTGTTCTGTCTCCCTCCCTGCCCCGCCTTGACTGAGCCCAGAGTCAATGTTGCCAAGTGTAGTGACTGTTAGTTACTAAGCTGTGTCGCCTCACTGCTGTGAGGTTTGCTGAAAACGCAGCGAATTGTCTTAAACACCCCTCCATCATCCTATTGACAGCCGGGCAGATAATGCGATCGATTGATCATCATTGCCGCATTTCATTCTGCATCCCACCTGCATTGGTGCTGCATTGGCGCTGCATTGGCGCAGGAACAGCCCCGTTGGATGCTGCAGTTTAGCAACTGCTGCACGTTGGGTTATAATGAAATGCACAGGAGATGTCAGTCTCCCTCTCGAGGCGGATGTTAAAGATCTTGCTTTGTGACTGGAAAAGAGAAGGGAGTCTCTCTCTCTCTCTCACCCGCCCGGTGTCCAGGCCGACAAACCCACAGATTCATCAATAATTCACTCTGACCTTGTGGCAAATTGGCTGCCAAATCTGCTTACACACACGCACGCACACACACACAAATAAACGCGCGCGCACACACACACACACACACACACACATATACGCACGCACGAGCACACACATGTACACAGTCACTAACAGTCACTAACAATTGACAGTGATTCCCTGTGGAGCGCTTAGCGATGTCTCAGTGTTAAAGACACTGCTTGCTGGTGCTCGCTCCGCCACTGGAGCGCTCTACTCTAATCCCATTACCTGCGCTCTCCCCAGGGTGTCCAGCTACTCTGCCATCACCCTCTGGAACTTCACCCCACAGTCCCTCCAACCCGCCCCCTCCCTTGCCTCCTTCTAGACCCATCTCAAGACCCTCCTCTTCAACCGTGCCTTAGATCACCCTCCAGCTTTCCCAATCCCGACCCCCCCATCTCGGGTCTGAAACACTGACTGTTCAGCGCCTCGGGATGTCCTCCCGCCGTGAAAGGCGCTTTACGCGTCATTTTGTTGTTGTTATTGTTGTTTGCTTCCCCCACTGGAGCTCTCAACTCTAATCCCAGCAACATGCTGTCTGTGTATCTTTGATATGGTTTGTCAGTCACTAATCCGATTCCTGTTAACGATGACATTCTGGGTTGAGATACACCAGACCCTTGTGCTATAACCTGCCCCTGGCTGGCGGGGGTGGGGGCGAAATTAGATATTGAAGGATAAAGTACCGTTTAATGAGCAGTGGGAATATCAGTGTGATGTGAGCCCAGGCATTGCTCTGGTGATCTCCCCCCCCCACCGCCCCCACCCCAGGCGTTCTCACTCACAGCCTTTATGAAGCTGCGTAAATAATTCAAACGCTTTATTTTACTTTTCCGGCAGATTGTTCCCACTCACAGTACAATCCCTTCTCCATTCCGGTGAAAGATGTCGGCCAAAGGCAAGGTAAGCGACCAGAGAGTGTGAGAGCGGCCCTGGTGTGAAAGGCCAGCGACCCCCCCACCCTCCCTCCCCCATTGCCCACTCCCCCCAGGCATCACTCAACAACCAATTACATCTGTATAGCGCTTACCATCTCAAGAGGACGTCCAAAAGCGCTCTCTCCCTTTCCTCCCCGCTTGCTGCCGCATTCCTTCTAGAATTTGCTGACACAATCTGCCTACTCTCCCCCACCGCCACCCCCCCACCCCGAGTGCAGCCTGGATCACAAATTGGAGGGTGGGGAGTGGTGGGTGTGGGGTTGTGGAAGCCACAATTTCTGGGCAGCAGATGACTGACTCTTGCCAGGCTGGTCTGCTGCCCTCCCCCACCTCGCTCGCTCCTCAATGGGCTACTCCCCCATCGACCACCACCACCACACAAGGGTGAGCAGTATCTCCCCCTCTTCCCCCCACCACCCAACAGCCTGACTCTGTGCATAACATGGAGATGACTTGCAGAGTGTTTGGATCAGGACTGTGTTTAGATTTCGGGGTGTGTAAATCTCTTCAACCCAACCTAATATGGCTCATTTTATACTGTTCGAAACCCAGCTCGTCTGCTAATTGTCACTGCTGGCGGAGCTGACTCATGGTGGGGAGGGTACCATAGTAGTGTGTCTGTGTGTGTGTGTCTGTCTATGTGTGTCTGGGTGTCCATGTGTCTGTGTGTGTGTATGTGCATCTGTGTGTGGGGTGTGTGTGTGTGTGTGGGGTGGCGTGGCTGAGGGAGGGGTAGCTAATAACACGGATGAGGTGTTACGGCCGTTTAAGACCCCAGCCTCCCCCCTCACCGCTGGCGGCTGTTATATATAAGGGTATGTGGGCCCGGTGAGAGGCTATTTATAACCTCAGGCAGCAGCTGCCGGGAATCAGTGTGCGGGGGGAGAGCCTGGATTACACACAGCTTCCCATAAGGAATGTCCGTAAGAAGATCTGACAGGTGCTGGGGAGGGGGGAGAGCTTTCTCTCTGTCTCAGACCCACCCACTGCACCAATCTGCCTGGCCCGTGCTGCAGTGTGTAACCTTGTGTTGTGATTAGCGTCCGAGCCCATCTTTTCCGGCTCCTCACACAGCAATGGAAAGTTTTTAGGAATACTGGAATTTTAACCTCTCCTTAAATGGATGAAGGGAATGGGGTTAGAGTAGAGAGCTCCAGTGGGCGCGAGCCCCAGCACAGACACGATGGGGAGAGAGAGAGAGACCAGGGAATGGGGTTAGAGTAGAGAGCTCCAGTGGGGGCGCGAGCCCCAGCACAGACACGATGGGGAGAGAGAGAGAGCAGGGGATGGGGTTAGAGTAGAGAGCTCCAGTGGGGGAGCGAGCCCCAGCACAGACACGATGGGGAGAGAGAGAGAGACCAGGTAATGGGGTTAGAGTAGAGAGCTCCAGTGGGGGAGCGAGCCCCAGCACCGACACGATGGGGAAGAGAGAAAGAGAGCAGGGAATGGGGTTAGAGAGCTCTGGATTCCCGGGATCCTGGGAGTCTGTAACTGTGTGTAAATCCTCTCACAGGGAGCAAGGCCTGGATACAGAGGTTCCATTAAAGCGTTCCCGAATTTTGACGCCAATCAGGATGCGGAGAATTTGTATCAAGCGATGAAAGGATTTGGTGAGGAATGGCCCTGTGAATGGCGGGTGTGAGCACGGAAATCCACCAACTTCCCCCGCCCGCTCTGAGCCTTAAGCACATCGTAACTGGCTGCTAAACGATAGTTAATCGCTGTCCGTTAATTAATCGCTTAAGATCTCTAGGACGCTACCCTATGTGAGGGGGCGCTGTATAAATACAAGTTGTTGTTGCTGCCATTCCCAACAGGCAGTGACAAGGAGGCCATCTTGGAGCTGTTGACATCCAGGTCCAACAACCAACGCCAGAAGATCCTCATCAGCTACAAGACGCTCTTCGGGAGGGTAAGCCATCACTGGGTGCCGCCTGCGGTCTCTACACCGACAGTCACTTCATGGTGACAGGGCACGGCTTGGGGGGGGGGGGGGTGGTTGGGTTTGTGGTGCCGAGCTGTAGTTGGTGATGCCGGGCAGAGCTAAGCTCCGGAATATAGAACAATTGGAGGGGATCTTATAGAAACCTATAAGATCATCAAAGGGCATAGAGTAGATAGTGGGAGATTGTTTCCCCCGGTCAGAGAAACTAAAACCAGGGGTCACAACCTTAAAATCAGAGACAGCCCTTTCACACTGAGTTGAGGAAGAACTTCTTCACTCAAAGGGCAGTGAATGTATGGAACTCACTACCCCAAAGGGCTGTTGACGCTCAGTCCTTGAACATATTCAAGACTGAGATACATAGATTTCTTATTGCAAAAGGGATTAAGGGATATGGGGATAAGGCGTTGGGGGGGGGGGTGATATGGGAGAGGGGGGTCGATATGGGGGTAAGGCAGGGTCAGGTTATTAGCTGGAGTTAGATTAGAAGATCAGCCACGATTGAATGGCGGGGCAGAAGCTCGGAGGGCCGAATGGCCTCCTCCTGCTCCTACATGTTATGTTACCCTCTGCCCAGCACTGGGTGACGGTGTGTCCCTCACTGACAGGACCTGATTGATGACCTGAAGTACGAGCTGACGGGGAAGTTCGAGCGGCTGATCGTGGGGCTGATGAAGCCGCCGGCCGTGTACGACGCCAAAGAGCTGAGAGACGCCATTGAGGTAAGTTTCCCCCCTTCCCCCCTCCCCCTTAACCTCGAGACACCTCTTAACAGCCCCCTCACCCCACACCGTTACTGACTGAGGCAATGTGTCTGCATTCCCCACCCCTGGCCTGACCTCTCCCTCTCTCACTCCCTCCCTCTCTCCCTCCCTCTCTCCCTCCCTCACTCCCTCTCTCTCGCTGTGTGACAGGGGATGGGGACGGATGAGAAGTGCCTGATTGAGATCCTGGCATCCAGGACCAACAGCCAAATACACCAGCTGGTCTCCGCCTACAACGAGGGTGAGCTTCTCCGCGCTCGACAGCGGTCGCGTAGCATGTAGCGTGGGCACCGCGGTGAAAGAACCAACAACATCTCCCAGTGACTGGCCAACCGTCTGTGGGCAATCACCACACACCTGTCTGTCTGTCTGTCTGTCTGACCCCTCGCTGTGTGCAGGACTACTGCGCTGTTTGACCACAAAATGCACAGTCTCTACATTTCACCGTCAAACTCTTCTGAGAGATTCCCATGTGATGAAATGCTGTAACTCTGTCTCTCTGTGTCTCTGTCTGTCTGTCTGTCTGTCTGTGTTTCACTCTCCCTCTGTGTGTGTGTGTATGTGTGTGTGTCTCTCCCCCTTTCTCTGTCTCTCTCTCTCGTTGACAGTATATGAGTCGGATCTGGAGGCTGACATTGTTGCTGATACCGCGCAACATTTCAAGAAGATGTGTGTTGTTCTGCTTCAGGTGAGGAGCGGGAAGTGGTGGGGGTGGGGAGTGGGCAGTGGTGGGCGGTGGGGTGGGGAATGGGCAGTGGTGGGCGTGGGGGTGGGGAATGGGCGTGGTGGGGGTGGGGAATGGGGTGGGGTTGGTGGGGGTGGGGAATGGGTGGTTGTGGGGGTGGGGAATGGGGTGGGGGTGGGAATGGGCGGTGGTGGGGCAGGAGGTGGGAAGGGGAAATGGGGGACCTGTTTGCGTGGCGCTGACCCTGTGTCTTGTCCACAGGGGACCCGTGAGGAAGACGATGTGGTCAGTGAGCACCAGGTGGCAGAAGATGCAAAGGTGTGTGAGTGTGAGTGTGCATGTGAGTGTGAGTGTGGGGGTGGGGGGGGGGGGGGGGGACAGGCCAGGCTGACGTCTCACTATGATTGTAGGAGCTGTTCGAGGCGGGGGAGGAGCAGTGGGGCACAGAGGAGAGCACCTTCATCACCATCCTTGGCAACCGCAGCAAACAGCACCTCCAGCTCGGTACAACCTCACCCTCACCCCCCCGCCCCCACCCCCCCATCTGTGTGTGTGTGTGTCACTGTCTGTATGTGATTGTGTGAGTGTGTGTGAGTGGATGTGTGTTAATGTGTGCAAGTCTGTCTGTGAGAGTTTATGAGTTTGTATCTATCCATCAATGTTTGGATGAGTCTATCACTGTGTGTATCACTGTGTGTGTGTGTGTGTTTGTGTGTCTGTCACAGTGTGTGTGTGTGTGTTAGTGTGTGTGTGTCTGTCACAGTGTGTGTGTGTGTGTCTGTCACTGTGTGTGTGTGTGTGTGTGTATAAGTGTGAGTGTGTGTGACACTGAAATGTCTCTGCTCTCTGTCTCAGTGTTTGATGAGTACAGTCAGATTGCTGGGAAGGACATTGAGGAGAGTCTGTGTGGGGAGCTGTCCGGGGACTTCGAGAAGCTGATGCTGGCGGTGGGTACGTATAACCCCATTCCCCGTCCCCACTCCAGGTCCAACCCCCCGCCCGCCCCCCCCTCCCGGGCTCCAACTTACGTTCCGTCTGATTCTCTTTCCACAGTGAGGTGTGTACGGAACACTCCGGAATATTTTGCCAAAAGACTGTACAAAGCGATGCAGGTGCGTGGGATGGGGGTGCAGGTGGGGGGGGGGTGGGGGTGCAGATGTGGGGGGTGGGGATGGGGGGGGGAGTTAAGGGGTTTAATGCTTTAATACATTTGCTGTCAGTCTCGCCCTCAGCCTGGCTCAGTCGCTGCGAGTGTCCTCTCGGGATCGGGAGGTTGTGGGTACAGCAGTTTGTTTGGGGTTTTGTTCAAATCTCCGATCGTTTCCGCTGTGACTCTGTGTGTGTGTGTGTGTGTGTGTGTGTCACTGTGTGTGTGTGTGTGTGTGTGTCTGTCTGTCACTGTGTGTGGGTATGTGTGTGTGTGTCTGTCTGTCTCCTCAGGGAATGGGGACCTGTGACAACACGCTGATCCGTATCATGGTGTCGCGGAGTGAGCTGGACATGCTGGATATCCGGGAGGAATTTCGCAACAAGTACGAGGAGTCTCTGTACCAGACCATCCGGGTGAGTGAGCACCAGCCGAGCGGCAGCACGGTGCGTGTGCTGTGCTAATTATCCCCCACGCTCACATCACAGCCACCGTCTCTCCTCTGCTTTCAGGGTGACACCTCCGGTGTGTACAAGAGAGCCCTTCTCAGGCTGTGCGGGGGCGATGACAAGTGAGTCTGGGGGGGCTGTGTGTGTGTGTGTGTGTTTGTCGGGGTGGGGGGGGCAGTGTGTGTTTGTCGGGGGGTGGGGGCGTGCAGTGTATGTGGGGGGGGGGTGGGGGGGGCTCACTCTGGCTGACACACGTTCTGCATGTTGCAGTGTCGCTGGTGAGTTCTTCCCGGAAGCAGCACAGTTCGCCTATCAGACATGGGAGCTCAGCGCCTCCATGCAAGTGCAGGTAGGTGTGTGTGTGTGAGCGTGTGTGTCCCTGAGCCCCCCACCACCCCCCCACCACCCACCATACCTCCGCTGCCCTGAATGCGCCCCCCGCCGTTTGACACATTGAAAACCAGCTTACGGTTCAGCGACATCTCTTCGTCTGTCTGACAGATGAAGGGGACGGTACGAGACGCTGTGGGTTTCCAGCCTGAAGTGGACGTCAAGGCTCTTCGCAAAGCCATGAAGGGGTTCGGTGAGTGGGCAGCAGTGGGGGTTGGGGGGGAGATAAAAGATATGGGGGGGAATGGTGGGGAGCGGAGAAGCGGTCACTCTGCTGTCACTCTGACTCTCTCGGGGCCTCCCACTGGTCCCAGCCACTGTTTCAGGCACAGATGAAGACACCATTATTGACATCGTGACGCGGAGGAGCAATGCCCAGCGGCAGCAGCTCAGGCAGCAATTCAAGTCCCAGCTCGGCCGGGTACGTCACCAAGGCTCTCAATAACAAGTCACATAAACTCGACAGCACGTACACCCCACACAGCCTCCCCTCCCCTCCCCGGGGGAACCTTCCGTTCCCCTCTGTGACATCCTGTAGCTCAGTAGTTAGAGGCCCCGGGTTTGATTCCCGGGCGGGACAGTGTGAAACCTTAGGCGAGTTTCCTTACTCCACACACACATACACACATGTGCACACGCGCGCACACACACACACACACACACACAAGTGCCTCTGTTTACCCAGCAGTCAGGACAGGAGGTGGGATTGGGGTAATGTTGTTGACGTGATGTCTGTCTGCTGTAGGACCTGATGGCGGACCTGAAATCTGAGTTGGGCGGAAACTTAGGGCGAGTGATCCTGGCACTGATGATGCCACCAGAGCAGTTTGACGCCAAGCAACTGCGTAAAGCCATCGAGGTGAGAGACACGCGGCGGGGGTGGTGGGGGGTGGGGTCAGGGATAGGAACATAGGCACAGGAGGAGGCCATTCAGCCCCCGAGCCTGTTACGCTATTCTATTAGATCATGGCTGATCTGTACCTCAACTCCAAGGCGAGGCTGGGGTGGGGCAGCTACCGGCAGTGTGTGTGTGTTTCAAATGCTGTGAGCCCCTACCCTGCGTGGGGGGGGGCCTATATAAATGAACGTTGTTGTTGTTGTGCAGGGTGTGGGCACTGACGAGCGGGCGTTGATCGAAATCCTCACCACGAAAACCAACACGGAGATAAACCGGCTCAGAGAGGCGTATACAGAGGGTGAGTGGCCGGGGCTGATCGGAGGCTTTACCAGTGAGAGCGAGAGGTGTTAGAGTGACACAGCCCCCTCTCTCTCTCTCTCTCTCTCCCCCGCAGGCTATCACCGAAGCCTGGAGGAGGACATCGAGTCCGACACGTCCGGTCACTTCCAGCGGCTCTTGGTCTCCCTGGTGCAGGTACAGCCCCCCACCTCCCCTCCCACCACAGTGTGTGGTTACCACTTAGCCACCCCCAGGCCACCATGTCCGCGCCCCCCCCACGCCCCCAGCGACGTTGATTCCCCCCCATCCCACACAATCACCCCCCCGCCAGCTTTGCCCTCGGACCCCCTGCGCCCCGGCGATAGTTTCTCACTGTGCCTCTTCGCCTCAGGGGAACCGTGAGGAGGGGGACGCTGACCTGACCCGAGCCATGGAGGACGCAAAGGTAATGGAACCACACTGAGAGCGGGAAGACGGAACGAGGGAAGCGGGAATCTCCAGGGGGAGCGAGTGGGCTGATGTGGTGTGATACTGAGAGCAGTGAAGCTGCTGACACTGAGCTGACATCTCTGTGTCTCTCTCTCTCTCTCTCTCTCTCTATGTCTCTCTCTCTCTCACCATCTCTTTCACCTCTCTCAGGTGCTGTCTGGAGCTGGTGATGACGACTCCGATTCAATGGAATCAAAGTTTATCAGTGTTCTGTGCACCAGGAGCTTCCCCCACCTCAAGAGAGGTACGTGTGTGTGTGTGTGTGGTTGGGGGGGAGTGGGAGATGGGGAGGTATGTGTGTGTATGTGGGGGTGGGAGGGGAATGACAAGATACGTGTGGGGGAAGGGGGAGGTACGTGCGGGTAGATGGGTCAGTCTCTCATTGTAGCCCCTGTCTGGTCGGTGATGGGGGGTAGGAGTGGGGTGTCGCGATTGCCTCAGTGACCGACTCTTTCCCACGTTCAGTGTTTCAGGATTACATTAAACTAACCAACCGCGACATCGAGCAAACCATCAGGAACGACATCTCCGGGGACCTGAGGAACTCTCTGTACGCCATCGGTGAGTCACTGTGGGTGGGGGGGTGGGGAGGGGCACGGGGAGTGGGAGTGGGGGGCAGCGACATACTATGACGGGCGCCAACAAGACTTAAAACCACGTCTGCATGTCCATGATCTCCTGACACTTGGTAAGGAGGAAGGAGTTACTCTCTCCTGGTGTCCTGGTCAACATTCCCCACAAATACACAGTCACTACACTTGGGTGTAAGATCAACGCAGGGATTAACGTGCTGACCTCTCTCTCTCTCTCTCTCTCTCTCTAGTCCGTTGTATTAAGAATAAACCAGTGTTCTTTGCTGATCGCTTGTACAAGTCAATGAAGGTAATTTCTCAGCCTGTGTGGATTCAGGCTCAGTTCACCTCTCAGCCAGTGGGGGGCAGTGTTAGAGTGTCCCTTCGGGGCGGAGGAGCCGGTCCAGGGATTCTTTTTCCCCCCAAAATTAACCAAACCACTCAAGAGGAAATGATTATTGTTAACTGATTTTTGGGGGGTCAGCCGGGTGTCTGACATGTGCGGAAACCCATCACCGTTGCTCGAGGGTCTCCAAACCCAAGCTGAGAATTCCAGGCATCCCATCTACAACAACAACAACAACAACAAGATTCCATTTATAAAGCGCCTTTCACGTCAGGAGGACGTCCCAAGGCGCTGACATGGAATGGTTGTTGGAATGGGAAGCTCTCTCTCTCCCTCTCTCTCCCTGGAGGGATGCATCCTGCTTACCTAATTCCAGATAGTATGAGGCGCAAGTTGGCAAAAGCCAAGGCTTGGGAGGGAGTCCAGAATGTGCGTTGGGGTATCTGCTGGAGTCTAACCAGCTAAACCCACGCAGCTTGCCATTGATATCGCTTGATAATTGATCATTACTGATTGATTAATTGATTATTATTAATTATTACTGATATTGTTTGTTATTAGGGCGCTGGGACGGATGACAAGACCCTTATCCGGATTATGGTGTCCCGAAGCGAGATTGATTTACTGAACATCCGCAAGGAGTTTAAGGACATGTTTGACATCTCGCTCCACGCCTGCATCGAGGTGAGTCTCGTCACTGCCCACGCAGTTCCGGAACGTTCTTTGGGTGGGAATTCGGAGACCGGGTTTAATCGGTGTCTTTTGTCCCCCAGGGAGACTGCTCGGGCGACTACTCCCGGGTCCTGCTCACGCTGTGTGGAGGCGAAGACTAGAAGGTCCCGGAACACTGTGCCGTCAACGTGTTCCCCAAGTTTGAAACCGTCCCCCAGTGTGTCACTGCGCTAACCAGTCCCGGTCACTGTGTCCCCATTAACCAGTCCCGGTCACTGTGTCCCCATTAACCAGTCATTCCCCATCATCCTGACTGTGAGGCCAATACTGGATGTTGCTTTGTCACAGAAAAAGGGGTGGGTGGTGGTGGGGGGGAATGAGATCAAATAGACCAAAGAGTCTTCTTCACTTCAATCTGTTGTGGGGTGTGGGGGTGTGTGGGTGGGTGAGTATCTGGTCAAATCATTTGCCCAAAAAATACAGTCACTTCTCCACTTTACAATATATCCCGGGAAGCGTTTCAACAACGTGATAAGGCACTGTATCAAATGCAAGGTCATTATTATTGGAGTTGGTCTCATTTCACCTCGGTGGAGGTGGGAAGGGAGAGGGGGAGCAGTGTGAAGCTCTCAGCACTCCCCAGGCTCGGGAGGAGGCAGTCAGCATTCCCAGTGAATGCGGCCAGGATTTTGGGAGAGTTGAGGCTTGGGCTCCACAGCTCCCCACCCCCTCACTGTAGTGAAGGAGCAGCCCTGGTTGCTGGCTGTGGGGTTCTCCTCCCCCGGTGTGAAACGCACTGGCTCTGGGGGAGACCATGAGCTGAGATTTCCTCTTTTACACAATTCCTCTTCTACTCACACTGCACTCACTCCACTGGCTGCCGCATTGACTCATGAATAAGTCACGACAATTGGACCGCAAGTCTTTACTTCTCTTTCTCTCATTCTTTCTTCCACCCCCACCTATTTCTGTCTCTCTCTCCGTGTGTCTATCTATCTCTATCCGTCTGTCTGCAGTCTATTTTGTGAAGTGCTTCGAGACATCTCCGAGATATAGAAACAGGAGTAGGCTATTGATACGGTTGTGATAAAGTGCTTGTATGAAATGCAAGGCTTATTATTATTACGTGTCAAGTTCCTCAGTCTGGTCTGTACTTCTGACAGGAACCAGAGACGAGCTTTTAGCTACAGAAGTGAAACCAGTGAAGTGAGAAGAGGAACCAGGCTGGGACGTGCGTACAGGAAACCTCACCATCTCTACTGACAACTGAGCAGCTGACACAGAGCGTCAGAGAGAGGGAGAGATAGAGAAAAGAGAGAGAGAGCAGGGCAAAGCAGGCACCTGACACACAGCAAAGAGCAGCAGTAACGGGGTTTCAGGGTTTATTGTGTGTTGAGGTGCGTTAGACAGAAACCAGAGAGCGAGTGAGAGAGAACGGTGATAACAGCAACTCCCAGGCACTGCCTCCACTGTGGGGAGAGATTGCGAGAGAGAGAGAGAGAGAGATGGGAAGGCAGACAGGGAGAGATAAGAGGATAGAGAGAGAAAAAGGATGAGAGAGAGAGAGATGGGAAGGGAGAAAGAGACAGGGAGGTAGAGAAAAAAACAGGTCGAGAGGGAGAGAGAGGAGGTGAAAGTTCCACATTAGGGTAAACATTTCCGGTGCAGGAGACAAACACTCAGGAACGGTATCTGTCACCAGGTGTGGGCTGTCGGTCGCTGTGTGGATGGTGTGTTGTGCTGATGTGGGGGCTCCTCAGCCTCTCCATTGTCATCAGGAAGTTGGTGTGGGGGTAGGGGGGGGTGGGGGGGGTGGAGGGGGGGCAATAGCTTCTTGCTCATTTCCTCGCTGTGTAGAACAAAGAAAAGGGCGAGGCACAGTTCAGTGGTTGAGGTGACCACAACTGGTTAACGGGGACACAGTGACCGGGTGTGTGAGAAGGTTGTTGGTTCTGCTGGTGAGGTGGGGGGGAGAGGAAAGGGTGTTTTCGTCTGTACTGTGTGTGTGTGTGGGGAGTTGTTCTGCCTGTAGTTTGTGTGGTGGGGTGAGGGGGGCGTGGCTATTGTTTCCGCCTGTGATGTGGGGAGGTAGGTGTTGTTCTGCCTGTGTGGTTCCTGTGCTGAGCTGGTTGTTGTCTGCAGATCCAGGGCTCTGATGGGACGAGGCCAGTGGGGGCGCTGGGCAAGGCCACCAGCTCCAGTGACATGCTGCTGAAGCTGGCTCGTACCACCCCTTACTACAAGCGTAACCGCCCCCACATCTGCTCCTTCTGGGTCAAAGGCGAGTGCAAGAGAGGAGAGGAGTGTCCCTACAGGTAAACACAGCCACAGTGCTCCCCCCACCCCACCCCCCGGTGGGCAGGAACCTTGCGGTACTCCAAGCCCGTGCTGGGGTTAACCTGTGATCCATCGTTTCTTTCAGTGCCTTGGGACGTCCTCCTGACGTGAAAGGCGCTTTATAAATGGAATTCTTGTTGTTGTTTTGCTGCTGCGGTCGAAGGGGGAAAAATTCAATACAAATCTGGGGAAACGCTAGTTCATTGAGCAAATAGTAATCGTATGGAACATTGATTCTTTCAAAAGCAAGTGAGATAGATTTCTGTTAGGAAGTAATACCTGGAGCTACAGTATATGGTTCGGGACACGACATGTGAAAGAGACGGCCAGGACGGTGGGAGGTGAACTAGATGGACCTTGTCTTTTTGTCCAGCAAATTCTTCTGTTGTTGTGCTCAGACACGAGAAGCCCACGGACCCTGACGACCCTCTGGCTGACCAGAACATTAAGGACCGTTATTACGGCATCAATGACCCGGTGGCTGACAAGCTGCTGAAGCGAGCGGCCACCATGCCCGGCTGGACCCCCCGAGGACAGGAGCATCACCACCCTGTATGTGGGGGGGCTCGGAGAGCAGATTTGTGAGACAGAGCTACGGTGAGTGGCCCACCAACTCCACAGCCCACAGCCTTCTTGCTCCACGCACAGACCTGCCCACTCCACATCCGCGCCCACCTTGCTCTCAGCCGTGTCCCCTCCCATTCTGCAGCCCTGTCCCCCTTCTGCCCCACATCGCCACCCCATCCCTTTCTGGTTCCCAGCCCCTCCCCCCTCTTCTCCGGCACCCCGCCCACTGCAGCCCCACCGTTTCGCGCTTCAGAGTGTGTCTGTCTGTCTTGTGAGTTTGTTTGTCTCTGTTAACGTGGGAGTCTTGAGTGACTTTGAATCATCGCAGTTGCTCTGTGAGGGAGGGAGGGAGGGTGTTTTCGAGGAAGAAGGAATGGAGGGTTTCAGCTTCTATCAGGGGCCAGTGTGTGCACAGGTGTGTTGCTGATTCCCCTCTGTCTCTCCCCAGGAATCACTTTTACCAGTTTGGGGAGGTCCGGTCGATCACGGTGGTGCAGAGACAGCAATGTGCCTTTATACAGTTTGCCAGTAGACAGGCCGCAGAGCTCGCTGCTGAGAAATCCTTCAACAAACTCATCATCAACGGCCGCCGGCTCAACGTCAAGTGGGGGAGGTGAGCGTGCGGCAGGGCAGAGGGAGGGAGAGCACGTGTGTGGGTGGGCGGTGGGGTTGGGTGTGAGAGTGTCCGTGGTTGAATGTGTGTATGTGTGGGAGGGTGAGTCTGTGTGTATGGTGGGGGCTGAGTGTGTGTGTGTGTGTTGGGGGTTAGTGTGCGGGTGAAAGTGGAGGGGGTCAGTGGGTGTGTTGGGGTGGGGGTGGGGGGCGTCAGGATGTGTATGTGCGTGTAACCTGACAAAGTATCGCTCTGTTGCTGGCAGGTCACAGGCCGCGCGGGGGAAGGAGAAGGACGGGAGCCCGGAGTCGGGATGAAGCTGGAGCCGGTGCCGGGGCTGCCAGGAGGTGAGTCTGCCCTTCACCGGGAACCGTCCCGGTCTGGTCTGCTCCGAGAGACCGCGACCCAGGACACACGCGCCGTCCGTTCACACACACAGACTGACTGACGGGCATTTGCACACGTTTTGTGTAACGGCCAGAACGACGTGTTCTGACAGTTATCTCTCTCACACGCACACTCACTCTCTCACACAATCTCTCTCACACTCTCTCTCACACTCACTCTCTCTCGCTCTCTGCCTCATAGTCCTGCCGCCCCCCGTCTCAGTGGAGGAGGAAACTCCCCCCAACTTCTTCAACCTGCCGCCCAGCGCCCCGGCCACGGTGATGAACATCTCGTTACCCCCTCCACCACCCGGTAAGTGCCCGAGCGGCAGCCGTGCGCCGTCGGACCGAGACGTTTCAAAGCGCTTCACGCAATACACTGTAAAGTGCAGTGACTGTTTTGTGGGCTTCCTGTCTGTTCCCAGGGTGTGAGATGGCTCAGTGCAGCAGCGCTGACTGATTGTTGGTGTGTAACGCTCTTTCTCTCTCTCTCTCTCTCTCCGCAGGGTTCGGGCCCACAGTCTTCCACTCTATGCCTCCGCCACCTCCACCTTTCCTCCGGGCCCCGGGCCCCATCCACTACCCCTCCCAGGACCCCCAGCGCATGGGAGCTCACACGAACAAGCCCAACAACGCCTAGCCCCCCCGCACGCCTCACCTTCCCTTTATACCAGTCACGGGGGGGATGCGAGGGGGGGGAGAGAGGGTTTGTGTCGCTCTCGCTCTGTGCCCCCCCCCCCGCCGTCTTGCTTTTATTTGGGGGTTCCAGTGGTTCCCGTATCGCCGCTCGCTTCCGTGAGGAATGTGTGTTTCCGGAGGTCGCGGCTGGCAGATCCGTGGGGAACCCGGGTATGTCAGGCTGAGCGGTTCGAGGATGAGAGATTGTTTGCACACGTCTGAACACGTCTGAAGTTTGGACACGTCTAAATTGTCACCCACCCCCCACCACCCCACCCACCCCCACCCACAACCTCTGTGGCTGCCCGCAGTGCCCTCTGGTGGCAGAGTGGGCAAACCACAGGCTGGGAAGCTAATGAAATGTGTCAAAATCCGGGCTCCCAACTGTGGGAGTGTCTGACTCTGAGGGTCCCCTCCCCCCGGCCTCCCCCCCCCCGGCCCCCCCCCCCCCCCGGCCTCCCCCCCCCCCCGGCCTCCCCCCCAATCTAATTAGGTGAAATTCATTTTTGTCACGTGCCCGTGGCTTATTTTATACTGTTGCCTCTCCCAGCCCCCACCCACTGCCCCGTCCCGTCTCGGTCTCCCTGCAGACCCACTGGGGGAACGGGGAGGTGGGTGTGAGCTGTCGCTGGCGGCTGGTGTCAGCCAGCGGGGAGCGAGGCAGGGATTGTCTGTCTGTCGGTCTATCTGTCCAGCCACACGTCTAGAACATAAAGAGACGCATCTTTACTAATTCAGCTTGTGCCAGTCTCTTTCTTGTTGCGGGACAGGTGTCAGGGTTGGAAGGCGGACTGCGCAAACACTGCCGAACTCACCGCCTGCCCTGGGGCTGCGTTCACAGGGGCCGGGAAGCGGGAAAGATCCTCTCCCTCTCCACAGCCGATTGGAGTTTGGAAAAAGTCACAGGTATGTGTGTGTGTCGTGTCTGTTCGCGTGTGGCTGTCAGTCACACTCCCTTTGGCAGCCCGACTGGTTTCCTGTGATGCTCAGTGATGTTTTGGGCTGGCTGTCGCCTGGCTCTGAGGGCAATCAGGACTCTGGTTGTTGCTGTATCTCTTTATTTGCTTCTCGTTCGTGTCTCACTTTGTCGCTTGTCTGCCTCGTGCATTAACACACAACGGTCTGATCGGCCAGGATTCCCGCGGAAACCATCCCTAAACGTACGTACCCAGCCGGGTGAGGAACTGTGCTTGAAAAGGAATAATGTGCAGAGCTGTGGGGTCAGAGAGGGGGAGTGGGAGTGGTTGGACAGCTTTTGCAGGGAGATGGCACAGTCACGATGGGCCAAATGGCCTCCTTCTGTGCTGGGAAGATCATTGAGCCGTCCGGGCCTGGGAATAGTTAATATGTGACGGGGAGAGGGGAAAGGAATTGTGGTTAACGTTAACCAAAACTTCGCCCCCTCCTCAGATACACACCCCGGTAATTGCCCCTCCCCACCCTCCCGCTGGAAGCTGCCTCACAACTCAGCAGACTCGGGGATGATGGGGATCCAGCCTCGGGGACGACGGTTTGAAGTTGGGGCGGTTGGCGATGCGTTCGGCTTCCATCGTCACCGGCTCCACCATCTCCTCGACCAACTCGAAGGCCGGTGGCGGGAAGGACCGGGCAGGGAATAGGGCTGGCGTGCCGAAGGGGGTCGCTACCCTGAAACAACACAGTGTCTGAGGTCGGGGAGAGCATACATCATATCTCTAACCCCATTCCCTGCTCTCTCTCTCATCGTGTCTGTGCA